AGGAGACATCTTGCCAAGCAACACTCATGTCTTTCTCTGAGTAGCTTCTAATGGCTAGAGAAGCCTGGCTATGGTTGTGCCTTGTGAAATGATCTTTTCAGTTAGTTTCTTTCAGATACTGAAAGGAAAGATGCTTTCACATCTAAGCTGTACATAGTGCCATTTAATATGATGAGATTGTAGCCTTGGTGCATACTTTCATCAAAAGGCTGTAGATGATAATTAAGTCACCATTTACTGAATTATTGCAATATTAAAGGAATGTCTTTGCAACTTCTCAGTTCCAAGTTAGAGATAAGACAGAGCAGAGGCATTCCACTTTAAGAGATGTATTCTTTCTTCTTGCCTCCACTAGAGCACAATAGGCAGTCATCTGGAACCTCTACTTAGTTAATTTGTGGGATGGTAGATTGAAGAGGACTTGGATGAGGGGACAGGAGATAACCCTGAGATGTGTAGGTATACTTGTGCAAGTTGGCATGAGAAGTCTCTGCTGGCATTAGGTTCCACTGGTGAAAGCACAGGTTTGTACAGAAATATAGGTGGAACAGAATAGGAGTAACACCAGCAGAAATAATGCAGCTCCTTCTCATTCTCTCAGTGAAGCAATAAATGCTGTGATTACTTTATCTCATGACTTCAGACAATTCTGGTATCTTACAAAATAGATGACACAATCAGGATATGACAATGGAAGAAGTGAAAGAGAAACCTCTCAGATCCTGGATATCTTACATCCTTTCAGTACTACAGTGATAAATAAGAGATTGTTGGAGCCTGCAAAAGACATGTGAGCTAAGAAGTGATATCATGTTTCTTTCAAGGAATATGAATGTTTGTGTTCTCCTGGTACCATGATTGTGTCTAACAAACAAGAGGAAAGAAGAGGTCTTTGTGATACAATATTGAGGAAAAAAAGAGCTGAAGAAATCCAGTTTGATTTGGATATGTATATATATTTACTTATCTTCCAGCCTTTAGATGTACTTGCTTGTTTACTAGCCACTCTTCTAAATAGGGTATTTTGCCACAATTCACGGTCCCAGTTTAATGGACAGTTACAACAGGGATATCAAGAGAAACCAAACTTTTAACCAAGTTACTTCCAGTCAGGTGGCAGCCACAGCTATGGTGATGACAATATCTGACTTAATCTTTAAGAATTTCATGAAAATGAAAGCTGTGATCCTTCCACTGAAGGGTAACTAGCTTTGTTTACATATTTTTTTTTCCCTTCTTTGTTGCTCTGAACTGTTCTGTGATGTAGATGTTGGTTTTAAGAGTCTGAAAAATCTCTTGAAACTAATTTCCCTTTGTCTTGACTATTAACTCCTACTTCTACAAAGACTAGATTTAGATCACTGTAAAGCAAGTAGATCTGGAAATTGTAAAGAAGTAGTGTATTCTGTCAAATTCCTATCCCATTTTATCATCCTTTTTCATGAATGTGTCCAACAAGAGAGCATTGAAAGAGGTATCCTTAGAATACAGGAGCGGGGAGTACTCAACTCTTTTTTCATTAAAAATAGGAATCTCATATTCTGGATCTTTGATAATTCCCTGTATTGATCTATCACTTCAAATCCCAATTGATGATTTTAGCCTGTACAGTTGCCTAGGTAAATCTTCAAGTTTAGTTTGTGGTTTTGAACTCTCAGGATTTTTCTCTTCACACGTGTTCAGCCAGCCTGCAGAATATACTTTACTTCACTGGTTAAGGGCATCTTGTTAATACAGTCTTGCCCTTCGATCTTTTGAAAGCAGTTGTAATAACTAAATGTTTGGAAGTCATGAAAGTGTCCATGAGACAAAGGACCATATTTTGACTCAAACATAGGGTTAATGAGAGCAGTGTTACTCTTATGTTTAGCAGGAGCTTACCTGTCTCCAGTATGAGAGAAAGCATGCTCCAGATTCTGGCAAGAACTGCTGGCCTTGGGCATCTAAATGACATGATTTCAGGCCTTGGCTCTGTCTCTGGATAGAGGTAGCCAATAGATAATTCAGCTGGTGCATGGATATGGTGTTCAAGGTCCTGCAACAGATTCTCTTCAGGGGTGCAATGAGATATATTTCTCTTTTCTTATACTTACTCAGTCTAATGCATGTCCTCTGAGGTATGAGTAACTTGTATTGGGTTTTGAAGAAATACTTCTGCTCAAATGTTTTAAATGGACATTGTCTCAACAGGCAGGCAGGAAGACATCTGATTCTGGGTTTTGTGTTGGTTTCTTTGCCACCTCTATGTTTTCAGATTTTGTTAGCAGATAACCTCAACAGACAGCACTTGCACAACAGTAACAGATTTTTTTTTTTCAAGGGATTATTAATGGACATGAGGGAACATCCATTAACTACAGTAATAACCATAAACAAGAACAAGAACTGCAAATTTTTATTCCCAAGAAAGCTCCAGCTTAGACTTCTTGCCCAGATCACTCTGATCACCCATGATCAGAAATGAATCTTCCTTTCACGTATTATGGTACAGGAGGCCTTTAAGAAACTTGAGGGGTAACGTTGCACTGAAGACTGATAGTTGCAGTTTAGACACTCAGATTATTTGGTATTAGTTGAGCCTAGTAAATACCCTATCCAGTTCTAAATCTCTCTCTTAATTCCCTATTCCTCACTACTCTTGATACACGCCAGTATCCCATTGGCCTTTTTGGCCACCTGGGCACACTGCTGGCTCATATCAAGCCGGTAGTCAACCAAGACCCCCAGGTCCTTCTCCGCCAGGCAGCTCTCCAGCCACTCTTCCCCGAGCCTGTAGCGATGCTTGGGGTTTTTATACCCCAAGTGAAGGACTCTGCACTTGGCCTTATTAAAGCTCATGCGATTAGCCTCAGACCAACGGTTCAGTCTGTGCAAATCCCTCTGAAGGGCCTCCCTACCCTCAATTCAGATTCCTCTCTGACATGATTTTGGAATGTCATATGAACCTGTCTTCTGTTTCTTCTTTGCTAAAAAAAAAATAAAACTTGAAATAGTTGGGCTGGAATTTGTCTCCCCTAGCCTCATACATCTGAAAATTAGGCATCTCGTCTCCCTCCATAGTAAAGGAATGAAGAAGTGAAATAACTTATCTTACTGTCTTGTATGAAAATACATGTATCTAAATATGTATCTTCAGATAGGCATGTCTTCACAACAGTTCATCCTTTCTCCATAGACTGTTGAAGGAATTTAGACAGCTAACTTACTGTTAGTTACATGAGCTGAGATGAATGTGATAATTGTCTTATGTTATTTTAAGATGACAGTTCATTCACGAGCATAACTTGACTGTTTGATATTTCATGAGGAGGATAAATATCCAGAAATATCCTCTCCAGGTTAGTCAAAGTGGATCTCAAACTATAAGAACACATTATGATCTCGATAATTTGTGGTAGTTTAAAAGTAGTTTTGGTAGTAGTAAAATAGTAGTTTATTCCACTCAAATTTAGGTAACCCCATCTGCCTATATAGTGCTTGAGCCTGTACAGGCACCTGTTCTTTTATAAAGGTATTCTAAATGTGTCTATGTCTCGTTGAACTCTTTGTTTGAGAGGTGCTCCTTATTCCCACCTTGGAATAATTGGACGCTTGCTGGTTAGTAACCAAGAATGGAGTCCATATGGAAGGAAGCAGACAATAGCTGTGCTGTTCTGAAATGTGTTCTCCACATGGATTCCGAAACTCAGACTCCTTCTTCACCCTTATAAAATCCTCTATTTCCAGCTTGTGTATCAAAAGAATGAAGGACAACTCTGTGCATTGTGCTCTCTCCACTTTAGGGAGAGGAAGGGTATGAGTCAGTGGGAGCCAGGTACACAGGATTCATACACAGCAAGGCTGTGGTTTCACAAGCAATTTGAACCAGTTCAAGTGTAGGCTACTTTTCAAAGAAGTCTGTTTCTCTGCACCTTTCCCACTGTCAGCACCTGTGTCAGAGGGGCTGCACCAGGAATGAGATCATGTTGATCAATATAACATGATACAAAAACAGAAAAAAAAAAATAAATTGTTTTGCAGCTGGATCAGTTCCTTGATCCTTTTACTTTTGTAGCCTTGCAGCCTTAGTACAAATCGGAAGGGACAAAAGCCAGTACTTCTGTGTTTGGTGGCAACTCTTGTTTAGATAAGGCTGTCATTGAACAACTGCTTTAAGCCAAATTGTGGAATCCATATGGATGGGATGTCTGAAGCTGTTATTAGAACGAATAAACTTTTTTACGGCTTTCATGAAGAATAACTTTCAAAGTGATTCAGTTTAGTATATGGAATTGACTCATGATTTTTACTGTCTGGCTGCAAGATTATATATTAAAATGCCTGTTGGGTATGTAAATACGAATTTTATGAATAGAGAAAGAAACCTTTGTATGTGTCATATATATTTTCAGTACAGGTGTACAACTCAGTCCAGTTTCCATTAAAAGCAAGGGCAAAAACTTACTGGTTCAAAGTTGCTTTCTAAAATCTCTAATATTTTAAGTTTTGATTCTAGAAATAATCCCCATAAACCATCTTATGTCTATGACATTACTTTTGTTTTTTCATTGATATTTTATTAAAAAAACTACAAGTTTCACAGTGTATAATAAGTATACTTTTTACACCAGCATTTTAACCTGGTGTCTAAGTGTTTGGAATTTAATATAAAATTATAGCTATTTGGATATTAAAACCTGCATTTTTTGCATTTAAGATGACTATTTTAGGATAGTTAGTTTTTATGTGGAGATTAGTATTGCAAAACAACATATGTGCCTGTTCTTATCTTCATGTGTATAGTGTATGGAAGATATTTTGAGGTAGCACTGTAGTTTAAAAACTGGACGACTATTTTGAGTTCGTCACTATATCCTTCAGTAGAAGAGTGTAGATGGATCCATGAGACGTCTGTTGTGTAGCAGCTTGTTTTTCTTTGATAACTTGTTTGCATGACAAAAAAGAGATATGGCTTATCAGATGAGTTTAATGTTCTAATATTCTGACTTTTTTCTCCTTAGGTTGCAGCAATCTATAAAGATTCAAGTATTGGAAATCTTATAAATATAGTTATTGTAAAATTAATTGTAATTCACCATGAACAGGTAGGAAAAACAAATATTAAAAAGATTTATTTCTAATAGAAGAAACAAAATAAATGGATTTGCATTGTAATTGCAAAGTTTAATAGATTTTAATTTTAAATACAAAATATGTTCTTTAACTATAAAATTTTGGTTTAAAATGAGAGACTAAATGTCAAATGTGAGGTTAACTGCAGAGCCTTTAATGCCTCTGTTTCCCCATCTCTCTATTAGCACCTCCTGTTGACGTAAGACATAAATCAGACACTATGTGAAAGCTTATGGCGTAGCTACCTAAAGTGTGGTTATATGCGTGGAAGCATGACAGGGAAATGGCAGCTTTTATAGAGGGTTTTGATGGAGAGTTTTCAGTCCTAACAGCTGTAATATTTTAAGATTATTAGAAGTATACAATTTTCAAATACATGTTTTTGTATTTATTTATCATAAATGCCTTGTCGTGCTATGTTTTTAAAAATATTTAACATGTGGTGCATGCTCACATACATTGATTAAAATAATGAATTCTCATGACTGATGACTTGTAGCTAAATTAAGACTTGATCCTACAAACAGGATCCTACAAAATCTGTGTGAGTTAACTTATGTGGAGTCCTGCTGACTTCCTTTTCACGCATAGTCATTGTTTTGCAGATTAGGGGCACAAATGACAAAGTAATAAGTGCAAGTGCATGAACGTTAAAATGCTTATTTGGGTTTTTTTGGTCATTTCTTGCTTAGGAAGGACCAGCTATCACTTTTAATGCAGCTACCACTCTTCGTAATTTTTGCTTATGGCAGCAAGCACAAAACAATTTGGATGATGCTCACCCTTCACATCATGATACTGCTGTTCTTATCACTAGGTACAGTATCTGAAATAGCCGTAATTACTCAGCTAGGTGAGACAAATGCTTTGGTTTCTTTTTAACATCATCATTTTTTAACCATTCCACTGATACTGTTCATAAATAATTAAAGTAAATAAAGACTGTATTGTACTTCCCAAACCACTGGTTATCAGTACATGAGCAATTACTCTGACAGTGCTATGTTGGTTGCTAACGATCTGATGAACCTTTCGTTAAAGATGATGGAAATAACTTAGACTTGAAGTTACAAGGAAATGAGTTCTTTAACCATTTTACATATATGCGATAGGAACGAGGTGTTGTACATAACGGAATCAGCTGAAGGATGCAGTGACGGTCAGCTCCTGATAGCCCAGGCATAATTAGAACTACCAAAAGCTTACAGATGGAAAATATTCAATTAGTATATATTCTTCCTGAACACCTATTGCCTCAGTGAAGGTTCTGATATTCATTCCCTAAAATGTATTCTCTCTTCTGCTATTCTTTTTCATTATTACTTTTCCCCCATTGTTCAAGTTGGACACACTCCAGCACTTTAAACTGATTGATATTTGTCCTGAATTTTACATTGTTATTTTGGCAGATGGTCCACTACATGAGGTAGTTTCAAGTATACCACAATCTGCAGTTTTTCTGCAGCATTTCATGCTTGATCTACCTTCTGCATTGTAGAGAAATAACATAGTATTTGAATTTTTTATTTGCAAGCTAGATAGTTAGAAAGAAATATTGTGAGCTTAGTCTGGTGAATTTAAATTACTTCTTTCATTAGGATGCAAATTGTTTGAATGGACTGTAAGACTAAAAATTGAGAATCAGATTTGCAATTGCTGTAATTAATATAACAACAGTGAAATACTTTTAAAATGTTCTTATATTTTACTGTAATAATTTTAAATAAATCTTTTTCTTCAAGGGAAGATATCTGCAGAGCTAGAGAGAAGTGTGATACTCTTGGTGAGTTATTTTTTTAATCGGTATGATTTTATAACAAAATTTATAAGACAATTTCAATGTAGGGTGAAAAATCAATTAGGAATAAATCAGAAAGTAGATGCAAAGTTTAAGTCACTCAGGTGAAAAAAAATCAGCTTCTTAATGCTGTTTTGCCCTGGCATGTACTTTGGTGCCAAGTGATTGTTCGTTTTGTGTAAATCTGCTGCATAGTTGAGGCATGACTTTCAACTCAGGTGCCATAGTATTCATTTATAGAGTCGCTCCTTCAACATGAGAATTCACTCTGTTAAGCTTTTATATAAGGATTCAATTTTGCAGGTTTAGCAGAGCTAGGTACAATGTGCGACCCGCTGCGCAGCTGTTCTATAAGCGAAGAAAATGGATTGAGTGCTGCTTTTACTATAGCACATGAGCTTGGACATGTGTAAGTACCTATTCCCCAGCAGGTAATTTTACTTTTTTTTCCTTCTGAATATGACCAGTTTCCTATGATGAGCTCTACATTTCTAAGAGGGTGCAGTCTGCTACTCCTTTTAGTAGAATAATTGTTTTTGCCCCTTGCAGTGAGCCAGCTCTACCCACCACTAGAGGTAGAGAAATTGTGAATTTTATAACCTGGCTGGTTGGTATCCTGAATTATGGAGATGCTGGCCATATAGCTGTTTTCTGTCTTTTTGTCATAGGATCTGGTTGGGACACTGGGACAGGTCTCTTAGATGCTCAACATAGTCCTCTTAACTCCAATTGCATTCTAGCCCTGATAGGAATTTACCTTAAGAAAAGACAATTGTTAATATAACACAGAAATATTCTTCCTTGTGTTTGATCCTTTCAGAATACAATAGAGTAACACAAAGAGAAATACTTTACACAGAAAAATAAGAGGCGATGACAGCATTTTATTTTATGAAGCATACCTCATCAGTGATGGCAGAAAGGTGCTATACTCTAGCTCCATGAGGCATGCCACAGTGTAGGTAAAGATGACGTTACAGAGCTCAGTAGCTAGCTTGTTGATTTTCATGTGCCTGAAGTTCATTTAGATACATGCCATTTGTCATGGTGCTTAAACTGAGATATAAAATCAGACAGTGTGCTAGTTGCATAAATGTGACATTGATGTGCTCTGTAGTTTGTTTTTGTTACTGAATAGTAACAATTGTGATGAATATTGGGGTAGTATGTTATGGATAGTCTAGTGATAGCCTGTATATTCAGTTGAGGAGATGGGTTGTTCATTTAAAATGGCATACTCCCAAAACACTGGGATTTTTCTGGCAAGCTGAAGAACTATGTAATTGTAAAGTTCTTACTGTGCCCAGCATTATATGCTCCGGAGTGTTTTCGGTAAGGAGAGAATTTTGTAAGGCATTTTGAAGATATCTATTGCCATAATGTCAGATAGTCATATAAGTAAATCGCATTAAATTTTAAGGCATTTTCAAACTCAAAGCTCAAGCATTTGCTGCTACAACAGAGTTTCAGTTAATTATTGCTGAATTTGTTTTGGAGTTTGTCTGTTTTGCTTTTTAGATTTAATGTGCCTCATGATGACAGTTTTAAATGTAAAGAAGCTGGAATTAAACATCAATACCATGTGATGGCTCCAACTTTAAATTACCATACAAGTCCATGGACCTGGTCAAAATGCAGTCAAAAATATATCACTGAATTTCTTGAGTAAGTATCAATAGAATGCTATTTTGTTTTGTTTTGCTTTTTTCAATTTCATGTCTTTCTGAGAAGTATTTTAAAGGCATTGCTTAAATACCAGTGCTGTGTTCTTCTTAGGTTTAACCATGGACTTGTAGGGCCTCAGTCCTCCAGAAAAATACATGCGTTTAGGTCTTTGGATGAGTCATGACTTTGTTAAAGTTGCACTCAACACGTAAAGCTAGGAAGATTTTTTTTTTTGATATAGTGGCGTTGGTTACTGAAAATATCTTTAGTATGATTTTACTAGGTCAGAATAGATACACTTTATTTAAAAGATGTGGTAGGTATAATTTAAGCAGTACCATCTTTTTTTCCTGTAAGAATGTGAAAATGAGAAATGACAGCCAGAAGGCAAAAAACCTTAAGCTTTGTTTGGTGAATATAATGAAAAATCCAATAAAAGAAAATGAAGTGACTTGGTTTATTTTATTAATTTTGATTAAAGTCATTACATAGGCAGGTAGACATGCAAACCCATAACTCCAATGAGATATGCAAGTGTAAATGTTGTGTGAGTAGGTTCCCAATGAATTAAGAGTGATTTATTCACATCTTGTTCCTGTTTTTACAACAGTACTGGTTATGGTGAATGTCTCCTAGACAAACCTAGTGGAAGAATATATGATCTTTCCTCTCAGCTGCCTGGGTCAATGTATGATGTCAACAAGCAGTGCGAACTTATGTTTGGTCTTGGGTCACAAGTGTGCCCGTATCTGGTAAGTAAACAACACACAGAGTTGTGCTTGATCTGTACTAAAAAAAATTACTGAAAGTTAGATTTAGAAATGAAGTCTCAAGACTTCTGGTTTTGGAAGGATTTTATCCTGAAATATGTCAAAGTTCAGGTTCTGTTCTGTTGAAGGGAGAAGAGTTCAGTGGAGAGCATTGCAACTCCATATGCTAAAATATAGACAGTTTGAAAGTAGGATGAATTAATTTCGATTTGCACATCTGTGAATGTGATTATAATTCCTTTAAAAGATCTAAAGCTGCATCAATGAAGGCTTTCTGCAAGTACTGAAAGAGAATTATTTCAACACTTTCTACAAATATTTTCACATTATAGCCCCTATCTTACCTTAACAGGTCTTTCTTATCTGCTTCTTTTAGTGCTTTTTATAATTTTATAACTTGAAAGTTAATATATTAATTCGAATATTTGTTCTTAATGTTTGGTCCACAGTGTAGATTCCCTCTAGTTTGTCAAAGAGTCAAAAAATATTTTAATGCCTGTTAGACTGTACATTTTGTGTACTTAACCAAAAATTTCTTTGAAGCAAAATAGGGATCAGGAAATAAAACTTGAGTATATTAACATTGAAACTTAAGTTGTATTTTGAAAACTTAATGTGGCCAGTGCAATATAAAAATAAATACAAATATAACATGATTACTTCATTCGTTACTGTCACGATGCCATATAGAGTTAGATTTTGGACCAACTTGTCAAATACCTCTCCTGTATCACATGGCTTGTTGGAGATGTTTAAAAGGAGAGAGAATTTAAGATCAGATGCAGACTGAATTAAGTGGAGCTTTTGGTGAGGTAGAATGTTGTTTAGGAAGAGTTAGGCTTTATGGGGATATTACAGGAAAATAAAGGGGGATTCATGTCCTGAAGATGGTGTTACTGAATACTGCTTGGTCAATTTTGTAATCCATAAATGTTATTTGTCCATTAAGTGTCTTTTAACAATTTGAAAAGGAAGCTTTCTTCTTAATTTTCTAGTCAGTGTATTTTTAAGAAGAATTCCAGTTAGAGTCTTTATCTGGGGATTACACTTAAGCATAGTATCAACCGTAACCTCTTACATATTTTTTAATTAAATTTTCTACTGACTTAGAAAGATGAAGTTACCTATTACTTCTAATGGGATCAGTTTCCAATATTTCACATTCTTGCCTGGCCTTAAGCAAAACCTGTTTTGGTTTTGTGGGGTTTTATCTGTGAAATATGGTAGTACTAATAGCAAACACTAAGCCCACACAGTATGAGAAAACAGTAGAAATAACTCAACTAATGTCTAAAATGGTGTTACAGGTACAACAAAAGTAATCTTTTCTTTTTAGAAACAGTGCAAACGCTTATGGTGCACGAGCACAGAAGGGGTTCACAAGGGCTGTCGTACTCAGCACATGCCTTTAGCTGATGGAACGGTTTGCGGTGTGGGAATGGTAAGCCTTCACTTGTTTCTCCGTGCTTGCATGTGGCAAAATTGTTGGTGTAGATAAGAAAGATCAGTGCTTGTGTGACAATGCCGTGCCTGTAGCACACTGATTGTGTGAACAGCATCTACCTGACTTGATCTGAAGTTTCTCTTAGTCCTTGATGTTGTGATGAAATAACATAGGGTTTTTTCTCAGAATAATTATAAAAGTTTGCAGATAACGCATTGATTAAAAACAGTTGGAAGACCTCAGGGGAAAATTGTCATCTTTCCTTCTGTTTGAAGAGTTCACATCATTCATGACAAGTTGGGGTTTTTCCTTATTGGTAGTGCTCCAAATTTGAATTTCTTGGAAACAAGACATCCTCAAAGCACGTTTCCCCCAGTTTTTCTTGTTCAGGCTATTTCACTGAACCAGAACAAATTAAGTATGAGTGACTTAGATACAGGAGTACACTTTTTTGGAAAGAGGGAGTCTTTGGATTAGAATCCTGATTTCAGTAGGTATTAGCATATTGTATCTGTTTCAGGCAAAATATGAAAGCATGGATCAGTACCTCTTCACTTACTCCACTAAGTGCCTTAACCACACATAACTGGCGCTCATATACTGTCTTGCCTGTTGTAAAGTAATTCAGGATACTTGGATTTGTTCAGTGCTAAAAACCAGGAGCTCTCTTCTTACTTACACCTTAATGCATAGGACTCTGCCTGGCTGTATGAGGTATGGATTGAATGCTTTGACACATAAAAAAAGAAATGGAAGCTGGGCTTTCTATACCATGCTCACTGGTTTATTCCGTAAAGAGTGTTGAGTGATGAGAGTGCAGCTCACTGCTTCCTCATCCGGCAAGTTGTGTTGAATGCAGATCTTGATCTGTATCCTCTGAGGATATAACCTGTCTTGGGTTGTCCATAAAGGTCATAAATATCTAATTAGTAGATATAGTCAAGGCACTTTGTCATGGTTTGATGGGGGGGTTGGGGGGGACGGTGTGTGGTTCTGGTGGCAGGAGAGGGGCTTTGCTCCCTGTGACCTCCCTGGTTTTGGAACTAGGTTAGACTTGGTTCTGGCCACCAGATCGGACTCCCATCCCCCTTGGGGTTGAGCCAATAGGGCGCCTCTGTGAATTGCCCTATTTAAGTTGGGACAAAGGAACCGGAAAATGTGCTTTGCCCAGGAGCGAGGAGAGACGGGAGGAGGGCACTGCCCCCGCTCC